CCCTCCATATTGGCCTATATTCTCTGGCCACGGGAAGGTGAAATAAATAAAAAAATAAAATAAAATAAAATAAAATAAAATAAAAAATAAGGTAGGCTAAATAAAAAAAGAAGCTTGCAAGAAAGTGGGAGGTAGGAGCAGTGGGGGGAGAGAATTCCTAAGGATTTACTTGATGATTTTTTACAGATATATTCGATGTAAGGTACCCAAGAGAGTGCAGAGTCAATCACAATGCCAAGGTGTTTGCGAGAAGACACTATGTCAACTGGATTTGGAAAGTTGGCATGGATGAGGGTTGTGAACTCCGGCTGGGGCGGGAAGAGCATGATCTTTGTTTTTGATAGATTTGGGGACCTCCAGGACGACATCCAGGAAAGAACTTCCTGAATGCCAGCACGCAAGTTGTTTTTCAGGCCAGTGAGGGAAGCTGATGAGGTGAGAAGGGTCGTGTCGTCAGCAAACAGAGACGTTCCAGGGAAGACTGCAGGTAAGTCGTTTACGTAAATTATAAATAGTAGGGGACCAAGAATTGATCCTTGAGGAACGCCTGACAATACTGGCTCTGCAGCCGAGGATGTGCCAAGCACAGTTACGTACTGATAACGCCCAGAGAGATACGATTTCAGCCAGGAGAGTGGTTGTTTGCGTACCCTGAATGCATGCTCGAGCTTTGCCAAAAGTCCTCGATGCCAGACGGTATCAAAAGCCTTGGCCAAGTCAAAGAAGCAAATGCCAGCAAGCGCTCTGTTATCCCTGTGCTGGCACACCTGCACGATGCGGGTCAGTTGAAGGGAGGTGGAGTCGCCTTTACGAAACCCAGATTGTGCGGGACTCAGAAACAGCGAAACATGTCTGTATAAGTGGTCATAAAAAATGCGTTCACATACTTTGGACAGGCAGGGAAGAAGAGAGATAGGGCGGTAGTTTGCAGGTTCGTGGCGGGAACCTTTCTTGAATACAGGTATGACTTTCGCTGTTTTCCATGCGGAAGGGAATATGCCCGTGGTAAATGACATGTTGAAAATATGGCACAAAGGGAATGCTATGGATGATGCCAGGGCCTTGAGGACCCGGTTGGGGATGGTTGGTTGGTTGGTTTTTATTTCACTTCGCACATTCAAACGGGATGACGACCCAATAAAATGACGGCGAAGGCTTAGCCTAGAAGTGGCTATGGAAGAACATAGTAAAAGCTATGGAAGCACAAAGTAAGAGAATAGGATACTAATAACTGCGGGTAAACGGGGGGAGAGAGAGAATACGATGTATCTGTGATACTACGTGCGGGTTACTGAACTGCACGGGGAGGGAGAGCAGAGCAATCAGCAGCAACTCGAACTACTCCCAACAGGCGTATGGTACACATGCATGCTTAAACTCAGGTAGCCGGGTAATTGTGCGGACCTCGCCAGGGAGAGCGTTCCACAGCAGAGTACCAGCAACAGAAAATCTCCGCTGACCACGGCGGCTACGGTTTGCCTGGCTTAGTAGGCCATTTGACTGCTGATGGCGGGTAGGGGTGCCTTGTGCCGGGGTCAGAAGCTGGGCGAGCACAGGGCTGGTGCGGGCGTGGATGCACCGCCAGATGGTGATCAATATTGTCTGCCTGTAGAGCTCGCTGACACGGTACAAGGAGTGAGCAGTGAGCAGCGGCTGCATGGCTGTCCGGGGCGGGTTGCCATCGATACAGCGGATGGCTCTGTTTTGCGTGGTTTGCAGTCGTTTCAGTTGACCCTCTCGCATTGCGGCTGAAAAACAGCAGGAGCCATAAAGCAGGTCGGGCATTATGACCGCCTTCACATACACCTGACGAGAGCGTCTTGATAGGCTTCGGCGTGCCCGCCACAAGGCGCCAAATTTCTTGGCAACCTTGGTGACCACATAGTTTACATGGGTGTCCCAATCTAGGCGATTGTCAAGGTGAACGCCGAGGTAGCGCGCAGAAGACGCTGAGGGGAGGAGACAGTCGCCGCTTTTGACTGTTACTTCCTGTACATGCTGCTGGGGAGAGATAGTCAGAACCTGGCTCTTGGTGGCGTTCAAGATAAGGCCTCGGGACTTCAGCCAACCGGCCAGAGCAGTTGCCGCTGTGGTGAGGGTTCTGGACGATTCCGCCGCTGAGGCCTGGGAGTCGTACAGGGCTATGTGATCTGCAAATTGTACACGGGATGCCGTCAGGACCAGACGCCTTGCACGCCGGAAGCTTCTTCAGATGACGCCGGACAGTGGCAGTTGTGGTGATGACGGACGTGAAACAAGCTGAGGGCTCCGAGGGGGTGAGAATAGGGGGAATAGAGAGCAACGGGTCATCTGGCCGAGTCACAGAGGCAAACTGGGCGTTTAATGCCCTAGCTTTGGCCAAAGGGTCAGCCGCCTGCTGATTCCCTGTTGTGAGTGACGGAATTTCCCGTGATACGTTTCGAATTCTTGCTTGTCTCACAAACTGGTGAAGCGATGGACGGTGTCTACCCTGCAAAGTAGTTTGCACTGAGCGGATATAAGCTCTGTACTTTGTCCGCGTCAGGGTTTTCACTATATTTCGCTGCTGTTGGTATGCTTGTTTGTTTTGTTGTGTTGGGTACTTCTTAAAAATGCTATAGAGATCGAATTTCCACTTGATTGCTGTGCGGAGATGGGCATCAACCCAGGGTGGCTGACTGGGCCGTGGGCAGCGGTGAGAATACGGCTGCTTTCCGAATGGCCAGAGGTGCTTCTCAAGGGCACTGTTGAGAATGGAAGAAAAGTGCGAAAGCGCATCATTGACGTTGCTGGCACGCACGTGCCAGCTCCAGTCAATATCAGAGAGCTCTGCATTCACACTATCCCAGACGGAAGATGGCACGGATTTAAAGTCATATTCCGGCTTTGCAGGAACATTGCTGAAGTGGCTTCGGGGTGCAGCAGCGGGATGTCCGCTTGCAGCAGGTTCCTCACGGTAAACAGCATCAGTAGGCAGTAGGAAATGACTGAGGATCTGTGCGTGGTCAGATGCACCAAGAGGAGCAGCAGATGTAACAGAGAGTAGTAGGTGAGGATGATCCGTGAGTACAACGTCAATACACGATGTTGAGCCGTGGGGATGTAAAGTGTGTGGGGAATGTCACCATTTGCTCAAGGCCAAAACAAGAGAAGAGGTTACGGAACTCCCTTCCAGCACGATTCGTGGTGTCACTAGGAGACCAGTCAGAGTAGCGAGCATTCAAGTCTCCTGCAAGTACAATCGCCGAATTGGGGAGGCTAATATTGGACAGACAGTCCTCTAGGAGGTCACTACATGCCTGGACTTGGGAGATGCTGTCTCCAGGGGTCTGTAAACAGAGCAGATGATGAAGGGGAGTGAGGGAAGGATCACTGGCCGCAATTCGAGCCAAACCGCCTCCAGTCCACAGCGCTCAAGGTCGAAGCGGCGCTTGATGGACATGAACGATCTGTCAGCTAAAAGAGTAGCAACACCGCCATAGCCTCTTGCTGGCAGGTTATCAGAGCTGATCATGGGTGGGTGGTCCAGGCGGTATGACGTGTAGCCTGGAATTGAGACGTCTATGGCAGCTGTCAGCCACGTTTCACATAGGCAGATTATGTCTGGAGAATACTGCTCACAGACTTGACTAAGCTCAGCTAACTTATTTACTATGGAGCGGCAGTTAAGTGAGAGCACTGAGAAGGATGAAGGTAATTGGGCAGGTTGATTGGGAGTTTTATTAGTTTGTCGTCCAGAATCAGGAAGGAATGGTGGCGCAAGTGGATTGAGCGACGCACTCAGTTCTGTTGAGTGATGCGGTCTGATTTGAAGCGCCATTCACGAACCGAAATGCCACTTGGCCAGAAGTCTAGACTCTGGACCTTCTGCCAATGCTCCTCCGAAATAACAAGGTGGGCATACGCCAGACCAAAATACCGTGCCGCAGATACTGAGCATTTGATTACAGTCACACTGCGGTCCTCGCACCATTTAGCGATTGAACTTGCCGAGCAACCGACATCAACACGGCCAACGTAGACGGCCTTGCACTTTAGCCGACTGGCACCCCTTAACCGGTCGTGCTCGCGTGCAGGGCGCTGATAGCAAGATGTCACCGTTGCCTGAAGTGCGGGCTCCGTTACTGAGCCTGCATTCGTCCTGTCTGGTGCAGCCTTGGGCAGCCTTGGCACGAAAGCCATCGGTAGCCGGCGCAGCCGCAGCCCTGGAGTAGGAGTGGGGGTGCATCTGCGCCTGGCACGCACCCACAGCCTGCGCGGGCCGTGGATGTACCCGCGGTGAAGGACTGGTACAGGCTGGTTGGGTGCCGGCCAGGCACTCCTCCAGCTTCCTTACTCGACTGCAAGTTACGTCTACGCTAGCAGCCACACGTCGGATTTCTTCGCCTTGCGACCTGATCGCTTGCTCCAAGGGTCCGATATCCGTCTTCTCAAGCCTTCTTTCAAGAATATTGAGTCGAGTATCCAAGCCATTGAACGAGTTACTGACGGCTGACACCTCCTCACGGATACGAGCAATGGAATCTAGGACCGTTTCCATGCGCTCTTCTAAAAGATCGCTCATGCAGGTGCGGAACTGTTTCATGATCAGTGGGGAAAAATACGGAACTAAAGGATAAAAACCAATGAAACTGCAGTTAAATAGTAGAAAGGTAGTGGAAATGCCACATAACATCATGATGCAACTGCAATAAAACCACCTTTCCACGACTTCAGTTTTATTGTTTTGTATCCTTTAGTTCCGAATTTTTCCACACTGATGATAGGAACGAGAAAATCGATTCTGGGTTTCAATATTATTGTTATAAAAATACACACATATGTCGAGTTGCGTGATATCTACGGCCATCATCGTATTCATATCTATTTTAAAATTATGTTCTCCTCGTTGATTATTTGTACTGTTCCCATTTTTGTTCTTGACATTACATTCCCACCACATTCGTTTTATTTCTTTGTCCATCATCACTTTCTCAAGAGTATGTTCATGGCATCTCAAAAGATCCTTCATGAGATGAAGCTTCAGCTGATTCTCTTTATTGCAATCCCAAAATCCCTCTGCATCAATCATATTCTTTTTTACGTGTACATGGAAAAACACATCCGGAAAAAGGATAGAAATATGAAACAGTTTTATACGAGAAAAGTGAGAAATGATTGCGGGATAAAAATTGAGAGAAAAAGACGACGTGAAGTGTGTGTATGCATATGAAGTCAATCAGAGAGTATTGGAAAAGAAGAAACAACATTACAAGTTTCTTTAAAATGGAAAACAATCTTACATTTTAAGTACCACTAATAACCCTGGAAAAAGCGTTAACGCGATTTAATGGTAAATTGTGTTTGGGGGCGAGTGTGTTGAGCCTAGTTATGGATAAGTTGTGTGCTCCGCTGAGCACAACGTGAGTTGAAGGCATAGATTTGAAATTAACTCTTTTGAGCTGCAAGGAAAAGCCACGGTTGAAAGTCAATCTCTGAATTCGTTGGGAGCACGCTCCCAGAATAAAATAATCCAAAGATAGAATGAGAATAAAGAAGGCGGTGGACAGTACGTTGTGGTTATAAAAAACCTGCAATCGCCACGCAAAGTGGTCATTGGCTACCCCAGCCATGTATTGTTTGGAATAAAACTATTAAAAACTAAACACCAAACTGAGGAATTGCAAAACAAACTGATTAAGAAAATCGTTGCGACGGGTAGAAATGCAAGAATGTATACTGAGATGAATTGTGCTGAGCCAAAACAATAGGCAAAGAACACAGAGAAGCACACCAAACTATAGAGCATGATTAAATGTGCACAATCAGTGAGTTACTGCGGGCAAACAAATTCATACTGTGGTTGCTGGGCGGATTCGACAACACCATAAGCATCACTTTTGGTGAGGGAACTCTCCGCAATATCAGCGTCTTCATAGGCTGCATTGTGTGTTTGACCTGGATCTTCGGTCTTGACTGGTTTGCCTTGTATCTTACGATGGACTATTATGGCTACCAAAGTTGTTGCTATTATCCCGATAAAGATTCCTCCAACAACACCGCCGATCACAGTCCCAAGTGCGCATGACGTCCGGGTTTGATGTTCCGCTGTAGGTGAGAGAACACAGCACATTTTACGTTCCAACATCTACACATACTGTACGTGCATTATAACCACAATTTTTGGATGCCTGAACACAGTTCTAGAATCTATGGTTTAGATCACAATGTATAGATTTTGAAGTGAAAAAAACATGTCATGGGAACTGCTTGGAAAATCTGAACATGCTTTGTTCATATTTTGCGCTCGACTTGTAGAGAACTGTTGGAAAACACACCTGGCAAAATGGTGATGCAGACATGCCTTCCGCCAACTTAATAATAGAGTAAAGAGTATAGAGTATTCTATATTTCCACCATGACCAAGGCCAATTAGGAAGATAATTATGATCGGGTTCCCCAGGATGTTGACCGATTTTTGAGAACCACACAAAAATGACAGTGGATGCGCTTTGCTTGATGTTTAATGTTCCTGGCTACCTCTTTGTGTTGACTTACCGCATAGAGAAGGCCCTGCTAAAGGGTCGGATAATGCACCTGTCTCATTGCCCTCAAAGGAAGGTACACCTTCCAGGCTTACCATGCGATACTGTCATCCGCGCCTATAACCAGGCTATTCGGTGGCAACAAAATCTTCTTAATCTGCTCAATGGGGCTACCAAGCAAGATTTTTGTTAAGGTGCTCTCTAAAGAACTATGGAAATTCAATTGAGGGTTATTTCTTGTATAGGCTCTTCATACTATTCTCTTCATTACTAAAACGTGTAGGGCGTTCCACTGCAGCCAAGGATTGCGGCAAACACTTGGAGGGCTGTCTTGGGGTATGGACAGATGGACATCTTACAGATCCAGGGCAGCTAAAAGGGTAGAACTAGTCATAGGGGTCGCTTTGGTGATAATCGTCCACGGCAGTTTGGCAAACGTTTGGCTCAGAGCAGAGTTACATCAGCCCTTCATATGCTCAGCTTGTGCCCGCTCAGCACGCACAGAATGATAGTGTTGGTAGATTCGACATTGTTCTCAGTACAAAAAATAGTATTTTGTAGATGTATTGTGCGCAGGCAGTAGCCCAATTACTGTGATGCATCACTCGCACTCACACTGTTACACCATACCCCTCTCTCATAGCATGGTTACTTACACGTACTTCAAGTACATGTATCTGAGAATATATAAGAAAACTCTAACTGCAGCAAAATGTGTAAACCTGCCAAATTATGCTCCAAATTTTCAACCACCAAATGACCCGTGCTCTGCGAAAACCGACCTTAGGTGCTTCGTATTTTTTTCGAGAAAAAGAACAAAACGTCACGGTCTGTCGATATTTGAAGATCACAAGGTGAGAGTCATGGCGGAACGAAGCAGAAGACGGTCGCTAGCTCAAATAATTGCTGTGGCCTTCTCCCAGAGGTTTCATCCTAACTCCTTCACGCTGAATAGTCATTTTTTGGCCTGGTCCAATCGCAGTTCTGATGACAGCAGTGCCGAAGAGAGTCGGATGTGGAATCGCAGGACGCAACGCTGATCGAGCTGGACGGCCATGCGGAGAAGAATTTCGATCAGGCGTCAGTTTTGCCACCAGCCCAGCCCCTCAATGCCGGCAATAAACAGAGTGCAGACCGATAAAATCGGTTCAAGTACTGTCTACAATCCAGAAGGCGAGCGACAAGTTTGACAAGGGCTGTAGTTGTTCCGCACTGGTGCTGTTTCAAGAGCGTGACACTTGAAACCTTGCTTTATAGTTACAGCGCTCACAGCAGCGCAAGTCCTGACCAAGTCAGAGAGCTGCTTGTGTGTACATGTAGGCGGAAAGCTAGACGTGCTCAGGAGACGTGGTGAGGCTACCCAGCGCGTCCAGCATGCTGGGAGACGTGGTAGATGGGGCTCAACAATACTACTCTGAACTACTGAAGACTACAGTCAGTGTCAGGGTGGAAGTCAGTGTGGAAGTCACAAACATGCATGTCAGGAAGTCTTTGTGTATGCCTCCAGCCCAGGATCAAGCCCTGGGTGCTGAAATCTGTGCAGGATGCTGTGTCAGTGCAAGTGAAATCAGCCCAACACAGGAATTGAATGAACTCTGGAACCAGTGGAATGCACTGCCTGTGGAAGATGTTGTGGAGCTGAAGCATTTTATAGAGCATTATGCTATAGCTCATGGCCTCCCTTAACCTGCAGATCCACATGGGCACAACAAGCCAGTACCAACCTACATGTATTTGCCCAGTATCACTACGAAGAAGTTTGTTCACCAGGCGTTCACAACGCCTGGTGGCAAAGCTGCATACAGTACGTTTGGCAAGATTTGGAAAAGAGACTGCCATGATATCACCGATTATGAAACAACGTGTGCGGCAGATGTAGACATAACTAGATGTTCTACTACAAGTACCAGATAAAACTATCAATATCCTTTAACCCAGCATTGATCCGAGCTTCTTCACTACTTTGCACCTCCCTCTACCCATCACTCCGGCTGGCATATCCTCATACAGAGCCAAATACCTCTTCCAGCAGATCGTGAGCAACACCATCCACAGAACAAAGATAGAATGTGTCTATCTCCACAACAGGAAGATCCAATGCCATCATAAACCTTTCCTTTTGAAGATTATCACATACAGATTTATTCTGCAAAGTTTGGTTGCAATCATGCTGCTTAAACTCTCACAGCATTGGCTCCAAAATGTAGCATAAAATCCAGGATTTTTACTACTTTTCCTCAAAAAATTGTAGGAAAAGTGCAAAGAAATTGTCATTGTATCTAACTGAATATGTATGCAATCTACCTCAAACTTCACCAGAAGTTGAAGAAAGGGTCATGGGTCAACAATCCAGCACAAACTCAATTTCGCCTACATGTACATGGATTTGCCCAGTACATGTATCACTACGAAGAAGCTTGTTCACCAGGCGTTCACAAAGCCTGATGGCAAAGCTGCATACAGTACGTTTGGCAAGATTTGGAAAAGAGACTGCCATGATATCACCGATTATGAAACAAATTGCGCTAACAGGCCGTAGTCTAACAGTAAGCTGGCGCTTACAACTGCGACGTAGCACTCGCAGTCACACTGTTGCACAGCTATTGCGAGAAGGAGCAGTCTGATACGCCAGTTCTTGCCATTGATGACGTGGAACCAGTGGGCCGCACTGATTGAGTGGTTGGTGATAATCTGCGTCAGACACACGCTGCGCCTGCTGTGCAAAGTCCAGATGCGTTGCTTGTCAGGACTTGATACAGTAAACAGCCCTGGCGGGCCACGGATCCGCTGGCCCTCTAGTTTGGACTCTGGCGCATGGCGCAGAATGTGTATTTGCTATCAAGGTGCTTCGACCCACTTACATGTGCCGCCACCTCCGGCGAGATCCAGTTGCGGTAGTCGTTGCGGAGACACGTCCACACACTTCACGTACAAAGAAAGACAGGGGGATAGTTGCCATGGTTACCATGCACTAACCTTCAATGGCTAATTTCAGCACCTTCCATCACGTTTCGAGGGCCAAAACAATATATCGTTGAGCTCCTTGTGGTCCTCTCTACACGTTGAAACTCTCAAAAAGTTGTGCGCTCTCAACTGCAACGAAAGTAAACATTTTGGGCACCTGGCCCCATACTAGGAGCCCCAAGTTAAAGGGAGGGCTACATTTCACCGGCATGTATGAATAAACAGGAAGCGAGATGACTGCTACACCTTAGCTCAGTGGTTAGAGCATGGCTGGCCTCAAGCGAAGATCCTTGGCTCGAGTCCTGGTAGCGAGTCTGGTTACAGTCAATGTTTTCTTCAGACTTTTCCCATTGGTGTCTTTCCCACAAAGCATTGAATACTAGTACTTGAGTAGTTGATTTCAATACTTGTTTTCATTTCAATACTACGGTTTTTTGTCTCCTCCACGATATTTTAAAATAATTGAGTACTGCTTTTACAACTTGCTATTCTCAAATCATTTGAGATTGTACATACCGCTAGTTGTCGTGCAGGATTCACGTGTTGAGACAGGTGTGGACCGTGGTGTAGAACTGACTGAAAAATCAAAAACGAACATGTACAGTAGCACACGACAATGGCATAAAAATTAGATCTTCAGAGAAATAATCACCGTCCACAACACAGCCAGAGAGACTAACAGGTCCACCATTGGTTTTAAAGCTGTTCCTAAATCCTTCAGTACGCATGTCCATGAGTTTGCCCTCTGAACCATCGACAAAGGTACTGGCCGGTCAAAGTCGTATCAAGAACATCAGGCATCGCTTCACCACCTCAGTAACACGTTAGGCTAAGTCGTGCCAGACGTTCGGAGTCCACATGACCGCTTACCTCCTCACGGGCTAAACGCCGAGTCAGGTCTTCTCGGCCTCCAACTATTTACCCCAGCCGAAGTGACGAAGCTGCTCTCCAGGTTGACGCAAACAAAGCTACGGGGACTGACGGTGTACCATAATTGGTCCTTATAATGACCTCCTCCACACTTGCCCCTTCCTTGAGTGACTTATTTGACGAGTCCTTGCGATCGGTGAAAGTGGCAGCTAAATTCAAGCACTTTTATCTGTCTCCCCTTTTCAAAGTGGGGACATCGACCATCTCCAGTACCTATAGTCCGATACCTCTCCTAACGATCGTGTCCCGCCTGTTAAGCCTACAGTCCATTCAGAAAAAGGATGTACTTGTAGCTTTTGGCGTGATGCAAGGATCTACGGGAAGCAACAGGACGATCTGACGGCGTCAAATGTGAACACCATGAATTTTACTACTGTATGAATCGGGATGCGAATATAGCGATAGACGCTCTGAATACGTTGCTTCAGAATCCCACTGTTGTCGACTATGCCACACCCTAGCCGCCTTCCTTTCACCTACCGCTGGCTGAATATTCATTTTTCGAGGGTCGTGAAGTATTTGTCTTGTTTACTTAGCAGTTTTCATTATGACGTTGGACGTCCATGAAGATTTGTCGGCTTTCACTTGACTTCTACTTTTCACCTTATTTGTCACCACCCAGTACTCTTTGTGACGTGTTAACTTACGCAGCCTACTCCTGTGTACCTCTCCTTCTCATTGTGATCGACTTGTGATAGTTGTGTCTGGTAGGGTTCATTCTGCACCTCCATTCTACACTATGCCCTTTGTTTTGATTTATCACATAATGTGAGTTCGTTGAGTGTTCACTCCTTGCGCCAGTATCTTAGCAATATAGTGAAGGCAACGGAAGACGACAATGAATTTCTGACTGCGGAGCTGTTTCCCGCTTCTCGATTTGTGTTGATTTGCCACATTATGTGAGTAAGTTGAGTGCTGACAGAAAGAGGGATGGATCACTAAGCCAACCGAGTGTGCCTTCCTCACCGGAATCACCACCAGAACAGCAGACCTGGGATTAGGGTGGAGTCGGCAACAGCGACAGTACTGACAATCACATAAACTGAACCCGCTTCTTTGAAACCGGGTTGTGCAGGCATCTCAGCTCACCGCAGCGCTTGAACCGTTGGGACAGAGACAGCGGAGGTCAACTGCGAACAACTCAACAGAGATTATTCAATGAATGGTCAAAGCCAACACACAGCAGCGAAGAAAAACATAAGCCAGAAGCGAAACGAAACACGGAGACGCTGATGAGCTACGGACAGAGACCCAGGGAAGACTTAGCAGAGAGTACACGGACGGTATGAGACGGACTGGCGGTGAAAATGAGTTGGATGACGATGCGGCGGATGAGGACAAGGTGGATGATGACAATGCGGCGGATGATGAGGCGGCGGATGACGATGAGACGGTTGGTGGTGATTGCGAAGAAACGGACGTTATAAGGAGTCAGGTGGCAGGGATGGTGATGAAGTTGATGAGGGTTGTTACCACGTCTGGAGTGTTAGACTGTGTATAACCATGCCCACTTCTCTGTACTATGTCGTGCTTATCATGTACAGGAGTTGGAGGTACTTGAAGCTGTTCGTATTCGTAAGCATAAGCCTGATCTTTGTAATCAAAAAGAACATGTTGTAGCACTTAGGTTATTTTCTTGAGTCTACACGGCTTGTTCATGAGTTTTTTTTCTGCACACTTCATGCCCATTTGTCACACTTACGTTCTTTCTCTATTTTAGACCTCACTTTGATAATAGTTACGCCTTTTCTTGTCAGACTTACTTGGATTTTAAACCTTAGTTTTTTCGCTTCATCACCTTAGTTGCTAACAGGTTCGGCCTCGTGTTCTCTGTACTGCGCTGATGAGTCCTCAAGCACGAAACAGTTCTGTCCGCAGATTCAGTATATTCCGTAATCAATAATTTCTCAACCTCTATCAGGTTCAGCATCCGTTTCTTTGTGTTGGGTTGACGAGTCCAGAAAGGATGAGACAGTGCTGGTCGCAGATTGAGTAATTCTAACATCTAGAGAACTAGCGCTATTGTCCTTGTCTAAATTTTTCTGTTGTTGTCTGTTTTTGCACGACATTGACCAATGGTACTGACATTCTAGACCTAACTGTCAATCAGCTCTAACACATCTCTGATTCGCACTCCAACATCCTTCCAACTTGGAAGGTTCTAAGCCACAGAAATAACATCAGGTGAGCAAGGTGAGCCCAACCAAGATAAGCACGACCTAAAAGTCTCAGCTGTGAAGGACGTTGGCGGATGTACATGTACGTCGAGGACAATACTGGCAAGACCTTGGAAAATACGGTCAAACCATGATTCAAGGACGCAAAGTAACATTCCACACAACTTGTATGGCGCAAAGATGCGAAGATCAGTTAAAGGGGAAGCTATGCGAACAGGAATCATGCAAAACCAAACGCCTCAATGAAACCTTGGTCCTTGGTTCCTTGGTACTTTTCTTTTCTATAAATGTATCCTTGGCTCTCCATCCGAGTCCATTCTTGCACACCTGATGAGCCATCCTTATCTATACGGCGAAACGTCGTCGTGTAAAACTGCTGCATGTTGTTTCTGCTTATTGTCCATCTCAATTGTCATAGTCGACGTACAGTGCTGTTTTATTGAGGCGTTCGGTTTTACTTGGTCCTTTTTTTCTATAAATTTATGCTTGGCTCTCCATCCGAGTGCATAGTGTGTTTTCAAAAAGGTTTGGTGCATTCAGTGCAGGTGCAGAGTAAGACAAAAAAAGAAAAAGAATAGAACGTACCCGTGGTAGTGACCGGATCCGTAGGAATAACTGCAATATATAACGGAAAAAATGCACTCACACATATACCAGCACACAGATACCAGCACACAAAGGACGTGCGTTATAGACAGAAAGACATAAGAATACTATGTCTTTCTGTTTAATATTTACGGGGTGCGACAGAGCCCTCGGCCATGAATAAAATATTGATATCACCTCCACCACTATACTACGCTCTCAGCCGACTAGACCCTCCTGCACACAACCATCACCTCTGCGAGGACACTTATATTGACGGTATTTATAACGTGTATTCCTTCAGACAGCTGTTCTGTTTCGCTAATACATAGCTCATCAGTGAAAGTACTTCGAAGTGGATGTTGGGTGATTAAAATATATATGACCGAACTGCTGTAATGGTTTTTTTTACATACAAAGCTGAGCATTACAGTGTTATGCCCTGGGGCTGCTGGGGCTGTCAACGTCCCGGGTCGTGAGGTGAGTTTGCAGGCTTTCTTTGGCGCTTTGACAAATGCAAGACACAGACTCTCACTAGCTACACAGTACACTGATTCTGGCACATTATTTCTGGATTGAAAGTTATATTCCTAAGGGTGTGCAGACTCCGCTGTAGCCACTTCATGTTTCACACAGTTATACACCACTACTCAAAAACGGTCTCTCGGCTACAAATTCTTCAACAAAATAATATAATCCAAATTTTCGGGCCAGGCCCATCTTCAGCAATATTGACAGCATTAGAGATAGATTTTCCGTGCTGAATTTCTGACGCTGCATGCATGTCCCATGCGCGTCAACAGTACTTCACACTTTTCTTTTCCCGCATTATCATGTCGGCTATGCCTAACCTTGGCAAATAGGTAGTGTAGTCCATGTTCCATTAGCTTGGCAAGTCACTGAAGACGGCATTGAGATAGTATGGAAACCAAGCGTACATGATACAGTAATGCCACTGCCAGTAGTACTCCTGGGTATAGTCATCACTGTTGTTGAGTTTAACTCTGGACAATGTGTTGCTATGCATAGAAACAAAATACCAAAGAATACAGATCAATGCAAACCGAAAGACCAAATAGAAAGCGAACTCCAATATCAACAGAGTTATCTTTTGGCAGAGGCAATGGTCAATAAACGGATATTGCTCCGATTTCTGATGATCTTGTTACAACTCAGAGGTATGTAGCTCTCGCGTAATGTATTTATGAAAGTAAGACATCTGAAACGAACGGTGTTAATTCGAATGGATTCCAGGCTATTTAGGCTCTACATGATTGGTATCAATTCCCAGTGATACAGCTGTGTTCAGTGACGAATTGGAACAATAATCTACTTCTTAGAATGCCATGAAGCAATTGGCTCGCGCCACTGCACAATAACTTCGATATCGACATTAGTGGTCACTAGCGTTCTGCATCCATCATAGCATATATGCTATAGCATATCTTTTGAAACGCAAGAATCGGGTTTCGGAGAGCAAGGCTCTTACGGTGCCATGGAAAAGGGTTGGAAATAACACCTGTAGCAAAGCGACACTAATACAGAGGACCGAGTGTGTGAAAAAAAGCCGAAACCAAATAAGCGCTAACTGTCACAGGATAAATCTAAAACATCAACAAAATGGATAAGTGAGAAAATATGTGCCCAGGGCCGGCCACACACGCCACAAAATACTACTTGAACAAATGAAGGAACTTACGTTGACATTTGCCCATGGTCCATTGGAGGTTTTGTCCACAAATACAGTTGACAGCTGCCATTCCCACTACATGATTACAATCCACCACATTAGTGTCATTGCATTCCAAGATGCACGCTGGAGGGGAGAAATGAATCATATAATTATTACCTTCGA